GAATCTTTTACCGATTTCCAAGGAATTGAAACTGTTCCAATTAGAAAATCAGTTTCGTTTGGTTTGAGAAACGTAACTGTTTTAGTTTGGCTAAGCCCAAAAGAGTGGCCCAAAAAGAAAAGAAAGCTATGTACTAAAGGGAAATTATTCCTATTGGGTTCTCAAGGCCCAAAATAAGACTATCATTTTTCATTTCCTATAGTTCTAATTTCTACTTAGGACGAGGTAGTACCAAAACAAATATGAATTTTATTTTTAAAAGAAAAGTGGTACTATTTTTCCAAAGTCCTGTACATTATAAAAATCCTAAGGACCAGTACTTTTAGAGCTAGTTGGAAATGAATTAAGGATTAAAGCTTAGTTTAAGAAGGCAGATTTTGTAAAGTACCTGAATCGGAGATTTCCAATTTTAGTACCAAAACTGAGATATCCGACTTCCATTGCTTAGAGCTCATCAATAATTCATAGCCAAAAACAATTGTTAGCCAAAACTAGGTAAGTTCCCCCTGAATTATATTCCCCCTGAATGTATGCGCTTTCAGAGAAATAATTAAGACAAAATTATACTTGAGATAAACACAATCAAGCATAATCAGCATAATTAAGACAAAATTATACTTGAGATAAACACAATCAAGCATAATCAGCATAATTAAGAACAATGTTTAAACCAATCAAGTAATGTTTAAACAAGAAGGTGTTTTCATCAAAACAAAATTGATGATTTCACATACTTTCCCCCTGGTTTGATGAAATAAACCATCAGTTTCTCTTGCGCTTGGAAGATCCGGCAACCTCACTGATGCCTTGCATGTTTCCACAGAGTTCTTTGATGCGCCTTAAATTTTCACGCCTTTCCTCTGCTTGTGCATCATTTGAGAAGTGGTCAGCAACTGCACCTATAAATTCTGTTCCATCCAGTCCTGAGCTGGATAGATGCTGTGCTGAGCTTTCCGGATTCCTTTGCTGTGCCCCAAGAATCAGATTAGTCATGTTCAGATGAGAGGGGATGTAAGAGGCTACTCCTTCGTTGACTGCAATTGGGAACTGGGGTATTGGAGATGGGCTGTGTTGTTGGAGAATTACTTCCATCTTGCGGTTCCCAGAGTTTGCGCCAAGAAGTCTGAACAGCTTGTATGCTTCCTTCTGATTGTCAATGATCACCTTCAAGTAGTCTTTGATTACTACCTGATTTGCTGAAGCTACTGCTAGGGCTGATCTGATGTCCATTTGGAGAAGGGACATCTGCTTTTGTAGACTGACTGTGACACTTGCTATTTGCTCCTTGACTTTGTTGAATTCTTTGAATTGCAGTTGACTGTCAGAGGTATATACTTCCATCGTGGTGCTCACAGTTTTACTCAATAGAGAGATGATCTCTAGAGTCTTGTCTACGGATTTACTTATTTCTCTAAGATCAGTGCTGTGTTTTTATTCTGATTTCTCTAGCAGTTGTGTGTATTTGGCTTCCATTTGCTCTATCTCTTGCCTAAAGGAGGCATGTTGAGATGCTAGGGCAGACTCAATCAGCCCTTGGACCTTCTTTGTCTAGACTTCCGGTATCTCATCCGGAAGGGTAGGGGTGTTAGAGCTATGAAAATGGAAATTGGTTACCTGATGAGAAGATGGAGTCCTTTGGAAGAGTTGCAAAGGAAGAGATTCAGCATCATCTTGTTCATCTTCTTCATCAGTGACCTTCAGTGTCCTCTCAGATATTCCTTCTGCTTCATCAAGTGCAAAATCTGATATGTATCTGGAGAGGGAGTCACTATTTTCAGCTTCATTATGTTCTTCAACAATGGCTGCTGGAGTTTGATAGTCCTCCACTTCTGCCATTTGAGTTTCCTTTTCAGCTTCTTCAGAATGCCTTTGCACTTCAACAGCTTGCTCTATTGTTTTTGGAATAGCTGACTTTTCTGGAATTTCTGTTGACTTTTCCGGAATCTCAGGTTGTGTCTGGTTGGAGATCTCACAAGGAGTTGTGAGGATCTCGAGTACTTGAGATTGGACCAGTTGCTGAAATTCTTCTTCTTCTGCTTCTTCTTCTTGGTTTTGTTCTTGTGGGGGAGAGGTTGTCTTCTCCTGAACATCTTCTGTCAGAGCCATTTCAGAAGCATGTGAGGTTTCCGGAAGTGTTTGGAAACCTTCAGCTGCTGCTTCCAAAACACTCTGTGCTTCAGAAGTGAAAACAACTTGATCTTCTGTGGCTTTGGCGAAGACTGGCTTGAAGACTGCAGTGTCTTCATCATCTGCTTCATAGTCTGAAAATGGTGTGGTGGCCAGGTACTCCATATGCAGATCTTCCGAGTCTCTTTGCCATACCCAGAAATCATCCAAAATTTGTTCACAGTTGTGAGTGACTGGTATTCCTAGGCACTGCTTGATAATCTTCTCATTCTTCAATTGTTGGTCCCAATCCAACAGTTGCTCTGCTGAATTTCCAACTTTCCATGCTTTCCAATGATAGTAGAGCTGCCAGAATTTGTTTTCAGCATCATTTGTTTGAGGCTGAGATGATGAGGTTGGAAGGCTTTGGACTTGAGGAATTTCTTCTTCAAGTTGTTGAGGGCTCCGGTTTTGAGTGTAGGTTTCCTCAGCAGGCTCCTTCTCCTTCAACTCATCCGGATTGACATTTCCAGATGTTGATGGAGAGTTGATTTTCCTCTTCTTCTTCCTTTGAAGTTCTCCATGATCAGAGACTTCTTCTTCTTCTTCCAAACATGCTAAGGCAAGGTTCTGTGGTGCTTCAATGCTTGGAGAGGGGGACACCACTTGCTTTCTCTTAGCAGTCTTTGCCATATGGATGAGCAGGACATTATCTGATGAGCTCTCTTCTGCAGTGGCACTAGCACTGGCTCTGTTTTCTCCTTTTGAAGACAGATAGTATAACCAGTATCTTTCTCCATACTTCTTTCCTTTAGAAGCAGCACCCATAGACTCCAAAATGTGTCCAATATACAGACCTTGACAAAGATAATTCTGGTTGGGCTTTCCCAAATGTTTTGAGATGGAATTGAAGAAGTGTGCATCCCAGTTTACCTTTGTTTTGGTAATGAGAGCGTTGATGATGAAGGCTCTCTCCTGGGTGATGTCATCAGCATGACCTCCACTTCCACACTCGAGGCATGCGATGACCAGTTCCAAGACTAGTTTGTAGTCGTTGTTCAGATCTGCTTTCTTCGCTGGGCCAGAAGGAATTTGTCCAAAAATTCCAATAACATTCCAGTCCAGATTTTTGACTGGAAGTTTCCCAATTTCTGCTCCAGAGTTGGGAAGATGAAGCTTTTCTCCCAACTTCTTCTACGAAAGCTTCACTTTGATTCCTCCCACAGTTGATTTGATGACTGGAAACGTCCTCTGTGGGTCTTTCTTTGATTTAGCAGACTTAACTTCTCCATTCCTGTAGAATTCAAGAACTTCTTCCTCGAATTTGAGGCGAATCTTCATTTGAAGAAATTCGGAGAGTTCTTGAGCGGCTATCATCTCCATATAGCTTTGAAAGAATGTTGATGAGGAGCACTTGGCCTCTAACTTCTGGAAATAAACATTTGCTCCGACAACCTTCATTTTCTCAGAAATTTGGGTGAAAATTTGAGAAAGAAAGGCCTAGGGTTCTTGCGAGATCTTGAGAGTTTTTCGCGAAGAAGACGATGAAAAATTGTGAGTGGGCGGTTGAGATCTGAATAGTGGCGATTGGGTTTTAATTTGGGCGATTTTTGCGGCTAGTGGCGATTGGGTTTTTGACTATTCCCAAGGCCACGTGCCCACCCAATGTATTGACAGACGTGGAAAGTAGTCCGCCACGTGTACCGCACTCAGTCTAATTGAATTAGACCAATTTTGTGAAGCAAATCGGAAAACTTGGCTTCACATAGTGGTTTTGTGAAGATATCCGCCAGTTGTTCTTCAGTTGAGATATACTTAATTTTGATATCTTTCTTTTCCACATGATCTCTGATGAAGTGATGCTTGACATCAATGTGCTTAGTGCGAGAATGATGCACTGGGTTTTGAGAGATGGCTATAGCACTTTGATTGTCACAAAAGATTGTCACTTCCTTTGTCTTGACTCCATAGTCTAGTAATTGTTGCTTCAGCCACAAAATCTGAGCACAAAAACTACCAGCAGCAATGTACTCTGCTTCTGCTGTTGATGTAGAAATGGAGTTTTGCTTCTTGCTGAACCAAGAAACAAGATTTCCACCAATGAATTGACAAGTACCAGATGTACTTTTCCGGTCAATTTTGCATCCGGCAAAGTCAGAATCTGAGTATCCCTCTAACTCAAATGAATTGCTTTTAGCATACCACGAACCCATGTTCTGAGTTCCTTTGAGGTATCTAAGAATTCTCTTAGCTGCTATCAAATGACTTTCCTTTGGCTTTGACTGGAATCTGGCACAGACACCTACTGCATATGAGATATCCGGACGGCTTGCAGTAAGGTAAAGTAGAGATCCGACAATTCCTCTGTAGAGAGTTTGATCTACATCCTTTCCATCTACATCCATATCAAGCTTGGTGGATGTGCTCATGGGGACAGAAACGGATGACTTCTGATCAACTTTGAATTTCTTGATAAGATCCCTTGTATACTTAGCTTGGTTGATGAGAGTTCTTTCGCTTCTCTGTTTGATTTGAAGGCCAAGGAAGTAGTTGAGTTCCCCCATCATGCTCATCTCAAATTTTCCTTGCATGAGGGTTGAGAACTTGGTGCAGAGATCTTCCTTTGTTGATCCAAATATGATGTCGTCCACATAGATCTGGACCAATAAGAGATCTTCACCATCTTGTAGTTTGAACAAGGTCTTGTCAATGACTCCTTTGGTAAATCCATTGTCTATAAGAAATTGAGACAATGTATCATACCAAGCTCTTGGTGCTTGTTTGAGTCCATACAGCGCCTTTTTGAGTCTGTACACTTGATCTCCCTTAGTGTGTAACTCAAATCCTGGAGGTTGTTCCACATAGACTTCTTCCTCGAGGTTTCCGTTGAGAAATGCGCTTTTGACATCCATTTGATAGACCTTGAAGTCCTTATAAGCAGCAAAGGCTAGAAACAGCCTTATAGCTTCAAGTCTAGCAACTGGAGCGAAGGTTTCATCAAAATCTATACCTTCTTCTTGACAATATCCTTTTGCAACTAACCGGGCCTTGTTTCTGACAACAACGCCGTTTTCATCCATCTTGTTCCGGAAGACCCACTTAGTCCCAATGACATGTTGATGAGTAGGTCTGGGAACAAGTTTCCAGACGTCATTTCTGGAGAATTGGTTGAGTTCTTCTTGCATTGCATTGATCCAATCAGAATCAGCTAGAGCTTCTTCAATATTCTTTGGTTCTACTTGTGAGATGAAACAAGCAAGCATAGCTTCTAGATTCTGTTGGGCACTCCTTGTGCGAACACCAGATTGAATATCTCCAATGATCTGTTGAGGAGGATGATCCCTTAACCAACGAAGATTGTGTTGATTGGGATTGACTGGTTGATCTAGTTCAGCTTCTGGTTGAAGAACAGAGGTTGTTGGTGTTTCCGGATAGATTGGCACTGGGTCGCCATTTCCGGAATTGTCGCCGTTTGAGA